CACACACACACACACACACACACACACACACACACACACACACACACACACACACACACACACACCAGCATAACAGCTTCATTTTCTTTACTATTATACGGTATTTTTCTCACTTCTTTTTCTTTCAGTAACCACAGTTATTGTTCATAAGACTATTTCCACTACTGTATACTGTACCTTAATGCTCTCAAACACAGGGGAGCAGACCACAATTCCCATACCAATGTTTAACCTATTGAATTAGATATTACGTAAAAGGCAGGCTCTTCAGCCCCATTAAGACTGCTTTGCACAGTTCTGGCAGCATAAAGGAATGTTACAGCCAATTTAACTGCTAAATAGAGGATTTCCCTTGTATAGGGGAATCCTCTAGTGGCAGAAGGCTGCTTTAGCAACCTCTGTACTACCCTCTACCACAGAGCATTGGGGACACATCCAGTTGAAAACCAGGTATGGCTACAAGGCTGGCATAACAGAGAGCTGCCCAGGGATCTACCTGATGGTCAGATGGCTCCAAGATCCCAAGGGAGCTAAAATATGCAGCCCAGGGCCTGGATCACGATTGATATACAGTTACATTTTATTTTTATAAAGGAAATGTGCTTGTATGTTCAGTGATATTGCGGATATTCTGGATTTACTCACACACTAAAATTTCACTTTTAAAAAAATTAACATAACATATACTCTAGGTCTTTACAAGTTTAGTAACACTACTGCAATAGAAATGATCAAATTTCTGATGAAATGTCTCTAAATAATAGATTGATAGATTCCAAGACCAGAAGGGACCATTGTGATCATCTAGTCTAACCTCCTGTATAACACAGGCCACAGAGCTTCCCTGAAATAATTCCTAGAGCCAGGGCGGGCTCCAGGCACCAGCTTACCAAGCAGGTGCTTAGGGCGGCCACTCCGGAGAGGGGCGGCACGTCCAGCTGTTCCGCGGCAATTCAGCGGACGGTCCCTCACTCCTGCTCGGAGCGAAGGACCTCCCGCCGAATTGTCGCCGCAGATCGCGATCGCAGCCTTTTTTTTTGGCGCCGCTTGGGGCGGCAAAAACCCTGGAGCCGGCCCTGCCTAGAGCAAATCTTTTAGAAAAACATCCAGTCTTGATTTGCACATTGTCAGTGATGGAGAATCCACCACAGCCCTTGTTAAATTGTTCCAACGGTTAATTGCTCTCACTGTTACAAATTTATGCCTTAGTTCCAGTATTAATTTGTCTAGCTTCAGCTTTCCACCATTGGATCCTGTTATACCTTTTTCTGTTAAACTGAAGAGCCCATTATCAATATTAGTTCCCTGTGTAGGTACTTACAGACTGTAATCAAGTCATCCCTTAGCCTTCTCTTTGTTAAGCTAAGTAGGATTGAACTCCTTGAGTCTTCCACAATAAAACTAGAAGATCTAAACGACACTTCACTGCTTATAAGATTTTACTTTTTCAAAAATGCTATGATGTTCTTGCTAAGATATCAGTATACAAATGTGACAAACACACTGTGCATGTCTGTTATTAATGGATAAATGCAATTTAGTAACATTTAGGGTGCAAGGAGGTCACAGAGTCTCTTGACAGCATATCTGTACTACCTGCTTAGCATATGTTCCTTGTTTCTTATGAATCCTGTTTGAATACGCTTATGGTTAAACAGTAGCTCATGGTAATGGAGCAAAGAAAAGGAAACCATTACAAATTCACAGAAAGGAGGATACCAATAATTAGATCTGTTACATGGAGTATGAAAACTTTTACAGTCACGTATGTATTTAATGGTACTTTCTGAAATTTAACAAACCCAGTCTCAGAAATAAAAAGAAGCTATGTAATATTCTGCTAGATTTACTGTGTTTTTTACCTCAATTCTGGACAGCCCTAAGGCTGCAACTGCAACTCGAACACTGCTGCTCTCCAGTGTTCCTGTGACCTTTCTTCGCTTGTGTTCGAGAGCTGACATCTGCTGCTGTGCTGCAATGGCCAGAGCCTTCTCCCTAGCTTCATTAATCAACGGGATCTTCAGCTTTTCTTCAAGAGTATCGGTGAGACTGCATTTCAAGCACAGAACTGGCTGTACTGCACTGCGACCTGCAATAAACAAAGCCATTTGTCAGCTGCTATTACAACTGTATGCCTTTTTTATTCAGTAGCCCAGAACACAAGCAAAAATATTAAATTCAATTCCTTCAGAGTTTAATGTAACAATGTAAGCTTTGCTATAATATTTTGAGTTTTAGACTAATTATAACTTACAATCAGGAAGAAGGACTGAAAACACAGACTGAAATCCAAATGGAAAGGTCCTATTCATAATCAACAAAAAGGTATATTTTAACTAATTTTCTTTTCAGCTAATTAAATTTATGGGAGGAATAATTATCAACAATCTACTGAAGCTTTCATACTTCTCTTGTCACTGGGGTGTCAGAGGTCCTTACAAATTGTAAAGTAAACCACAGTGAATATATATATATATCTTTCTACCTGTCTTCCCCAATCAGTATTGTTCTGATCACACTCCTCCCATTTGTTCGTAAGTGTTGTTCTGATAGGAAGGCTAGGTCAAAGTGAGAGGATTCTGATATGAAGGGAGTAAAATTTGTGGTGGTTTCAACATCTTCTGAAGGTGAATTCCACAGCTGTCTGTTAGTTACTGAGATCACTTCATCTCTCTCTCTCTCTCTCTCACACACACACACACACACACACACCCCTCCCTCTCTACCTCCTGTCGAACATATCTATAGTGGGAAGACATTTTGGAGAGTACAGTAATACATCTATTTATATTACCCTGGCACCCAAAGTCCCCAGCTAAAATTGGGGCCTTTCTGTGGTAGCACAGTACAAACACATAGTAAGGGACAATCCCCTTACCTAGTTAGATTGTAAATCCTTTGGGGTAAGACAACCAGAAAGGGAGTTTTATCCTCATTTGACAGAGAAAGTGAGACACAGCGAGATTAAATAACTTGTCCAAGATCACAGAGGAAATCTGTGCGAGAGCTGGGAATGGAACCCAGATCTCTAGCATCCCGTTCCAGGTTTTATACACAAGACCACTCATGGGCTGTGCTGGTTGGCTCGAGGCCCCATAGAAGAGTAGGTTTTATGGTTGACATGTGCCTCTTCACTGCTGTTCCGGCTTCACCTAAGTTCCATCACCACAATGAACAGCAGAGGCAGGAACAGCTCCTGATGGAATACTTAACCCAGACAGCAGGGTGTTTTGATAACGCATGGTCAATAATCTTATTGAGAGGAATGAAAGAGACAAGCAACAGGAGGAATTGAGCGTCTGAGAAGAAGAATGGAGGAAAGTCTTGTAGTCTCACAGAAATGCATATCACAGAGTCACACATTAGAGTGCACAGCTTAAAGTGTTTTAGCATTTGCATGCCACCTGTGAATCTGTACTTCAAGTTTCAGCCTGATGTGGTTTAAAATGGCTGAGGCATAAACTCTTCAAATGCATCATTCTGAATTGAATAACTCAAGTTATTAACATGGCAGGAACTGGCACTGGGTAGAAAATACCAGTAAAAGCCTAGAGCTCACTATAAATGTTGTACTTTACTGCTATCATAATGACAACATCATTCTGAAACTCAGCACTCCCTGGCTACAGATGGTTCAGTTTGAGGGGCTACAAAGTGCTAAATCTTTTAAAAGGTACCTAATAGGAACACAATCATTGACACTGTAGCGTCTGACATGACTTTCCCCTTATTTTTCCCCTTTGGTTTCAATTTTTATATAGTAACGAATCTGACTGGCATTATTTAGAGATAGTGAGTGAAAGAGCAAATTCTTTAGATAACTTGCCCAAAGGAAAGAAGGTCTCTTCATAGCTCATGTAAACCATCAAGTTCATAGAGTGTGAAGAGGTCTTGAATTACCTACGGCTGTATGCATTGTAGAACAAGGAGCGGGTGATGATTAACACACTTCTAAAAGCAGCAGAGAAATATACTCCTCACTATAATTAGAGGGCATCATCTCAGGAGTTTACAGCCCAAACTGCTGATTTTTCCTCACAAAAAATTGAGTAGGTTTAAAAAACTATGTATTTTAAAGAGAGATGGGCTCAAAACAATGGTTTAGAGATGGTTAAATACAGATGGTTACATTTCATCTTTCCTAAACTGATGTAATAAATGCTATATTTCTCTTTGATTGTATTGCATTTAAAGGTGTCCTGTCTCCCAGAGTCTCTTGGAGGCACATTATCCACATGAGAAATAGTCCCGTACTGACTGAGCTGTTCAGACCTCATTAAATGGCCATACAAGAGTGTGTCTGAATCACAACCCATGAAAGAAAGGTCACTTCCCAAATAACTGTCATTGCTTCAGATAATTTGCTGTGTGGATCTATATTCAGTGAACGAAGAGCTATAGAGACAATTACTTAAAGAATTACAGATTCTAGGTAAATACCTTTCCCTTTCTGACTATTGCCACCATAGATTCCCAGCCCCTTAACAAGCAGAAACAACTCCTGAAGGAGGTGGATTTGGACAATACTAATTGAACAAAGTTGCAGGATTGCTCTCCAGAAGTCACCTTTAGATCCAGAAGCTAAATTAAGGGTGTAATGAAATATCAAGGAAGTAATGCTGTATAAATGTAGGTAAGGACTTGTCTAGACGGTGTACGAGTGCGCAACAGCTGAAGTGTAAATTCCAGTGTACACCAGCATGTCATTAAACTAACTGTCCATGAAGACCCTGCTGGTGCTCACTAAAGTTCCCTAGTGCTAGCTGACATAGTATTGTTTGACTATGTTAACATGCCCTAGGGAACTTTTAGTGCATACCAACAGGGTCCTCACAGGCCAGTTAGTGAGAGACCCATTGGCGCACACTAGAATTTGCACTGCAGCTGATACACAACAATACACCATGTAGAGAAGCCATAAGGAACTCAAAGTAGGAGCCTTACATATTTCTTTGATTGAGATATTTCTGAGACATGCTGAGACATTTTGGCTCTACGGTAGTTCATTGTGCTCCAAGAAATACAGGTTGCAGATTACACATCAGGACATCATAAATGTGTATACAAAGCACCAATATTTCATATCTAGGAAAGTTCAAAGACAATCAAGAGATGCTTGTACTGGTTCAAGTAGTGTCAAACTACTGCTGCAGTACTACAAGATTGAGGCATCTTGGAAAGTAGCCATAGAAAAATATTGATATGGCCAAGCTGAAAATTTATTCTAGTTTACTTGCAGAGACATACCAGGTTAGGAGGGGCTTGCAAGCCGTCTCTAATTTGAAAAAGGTCTGGGAAGCAAAAAAAAAAAAATCTAAACCATATGACTAAAGGAATAATTTTAGATTATGTTTGTTTTGCAATGTCTTTTTAAGGCTCGTTCCATTGTAAAATGGCTCATCTTTCGTACTGTATTTATTTTCCTTCCCCTAAGTGCCAGAGAGCTCAATGCATTATAAAGGATGATGTTTTCCCAAATCATTTTTTCCTCCTTTCATTTACTCTACCTTTTAAAGTACTGCTAATGCGCAGAACATTTGGACTATCCATCGGAAGCAAGCCTGAAGGCAAAGGTATGCCACATGTTCCCTCTACCAGGTAAACAAATTCTCCAACCTGAAACACAGGAGCATATGCATTTCAATTCAGAGAGCAATTCATGCAGAACAAATTATAAACCATTAAAACAAACAAAAAGAAAAACTATTCTAGTAATACAGAAGAATGACTTATATAAGTGGTTCATATATTTTGAAGAGCCTTTTTTTAAAAACTGCTTTTTTAAAGAAGAAAATGAACATATTACCTAAAAAACCCTATAAGTAACTGTAAGGGTGAAAATTAAACTTGCAAAATCAAATAATTTCAGAATCAAAGTTTTTATGGTGTTAGGGGACTGGAGAGCCCCCATACAGACCGCACCCTTAGACGCTTCTGAGTTCCCTGGTGAGGCACCTTTACGCTTCTTGTTTTTAGTGTTTATCTTTTTAGTATGTGTTTCGCGTTTTCCAACAGTAAGGGGAGCCATGGTGAGCATGTCTCGGTACATGCATAGCCTAGAGCAGAGGTATCTATTTTTTGTCAAGGTCCAGGTCCAGACTCAAGAGAAAATAATAAAAAATAACAATAATAATGATGATAATAAGTAAATAAAAAGATTTCAGGGTCCATTCAAAAGTGTCTGGTGGTCTGGATTTGGCCTGCAGTTCGCCTATGTGTGTGTGTTAACAGCTTCTCTGGTGGTGGAGTGGTGATAGATTCTAGACAGAGGAAAAGGTTCATCTGGCTGCAGCCAGAATATCTCTCTGCATCACCCAGCAAGTAGTGAGATTTTACTTACTTGCTGTAATTCTAGCCTAGGATCACATATTTAGATCCTCTTGTAATTTTCAATAAATTGTTAAAACTACCTGGTCTCTCTGAAATTTGACTGCATTGCTCTGGGAGATGGGCAATTCATAACAATAGTTCAGTTCTTTTTAACTCTTCCCACTACAGTTAAATGCCTGAGCTAGGATACCATGAGCCACAAATGAGATAGACAAAAAAGTATATACTGATCATATGGAGTAGCCATTTTTAAAACCTCTATAATCAGTTGTTTTAAACAAATAGAGTAACAGCCTGCATAGTTCACATTTAAAGGATGAAACCGTTTAAATTATTTCAAACTACATAATTTTTAATATTTTGAAGTTTTGTAAAGTTTAAAGCAGCTCAGCTATTTGGTTAAAAAAAATTTTTTGAACCAGTAACATTTTGTTAACCAATTCATAGTTCTCTAGTGAAAAATGAGTGGGGGTGAAAGTGGGCTAGTGACATGTTCTGACTGTCCTTTAATGTTACTGAACATTTTCCACTTACTTTCTTTTAAATTCAAACGGTCACTAATTGAGGGAGTTAAGTTAAGTAACTAATCTGATTTCTAGAGTTATGCCAAAATCACTGATGACAACACTGCACAAACAAGGAAGTAAACAGAAATGTTATCTAGGGGAAAACAAAGGGGCAATAAGTTTTTACCAAAATGGAAAGGACATATCCACTGATGAACAAATGGTATTTCAAACTGTTGAGAAGGCATAATAAGCAAAGAACAAATACAATAAAAATGCATGTTAAACGACTTGTGTACAGTAGCCTAGACTGTAGGGACTAGATACCAAAAAAACAAAAAGAATGCTTCAAGGTGGTGTAAATTACACCTCCAAGCAACAATAAGTTCCATGTTGCTGAGGAGAATTCACATCAGCAGAGAGCAGGCAATGTTACCCTCAGGATTTCTGCTTTGGGGGTAGCTTACTCCCACCAAAGTTCCATACAGTAGGAATCTATAAACACATTCCTACTGCTTTAGTGACTTCCCCTTACTCCCCCACCTCCTTAAGCTAACACCACCCACTTCTTTGGACTCCCCTGGCCTTTAGTGGCCGCGCATGCCAGCAAAAGGAGTATGTACTCATCTCATATGGCCATTGTCAACCACTAACAAATTATTTGCCACTACAGGCCTCCACGAAGATTTATACAAGCAAAATCAGTGTGAATCTGCTTAGGAATGGTATAGTTCAGGTTGGTTGTTTACTCTTGGCAGGCAGCAATGAAAAAAAAAAAAAAAAAAGAAGAAGACTTATTTAGGTCAATTGGTCCATCCTCCCGCTGCCAATGCTCCCTGCATAATTGGCTAAGTGACCTAAAATAAGTCTGTTTTTCATTTTACCTTTCCTCACCGCTTTGTAGGAAATTTTTTTCACTCTAGAGCTAAAAACATAGTGTTCTATAAGTTTTCTAACTTAGTAAAAAGAGAATTGTTCAAATTCCATGGCATTTATCTCCCTTTCCTTGGTTTAAGAGCCCAAACACTTCTTTCTTGAGGGGAGTAAAACCCATGGCAAAACTTGTGTACCACCCACAAACTAATTACCACCTTGGGGAACCAATTTAAACAGAAATTATTCCCTTTCAAGACAATGTTATGGCTCCATACGGTCCCTGTAAAAGCTCTTGGCATACACAACTAGTTTTATAAAAGTACCAGTTGCTAACGCTCCATTCTATTATCATTTTTCCTGTGTCATTAATTATACCAACATACTTATGTGTAAAAAGAAGCTCTTTCAATTCAAAACTTGGTTTGACAAGATCTGAAAGTGTTGATTTCCACAGGCTGTAAGGCCAATTTTCTTTTTGCTCAGGCTTTTCCTGATGTTGCAGAATGGTCAGGAGGAATCTTTTTTATGGTGTTTTGGGAGGTTTAGTGAATAACCTAAATTTCTGAGTGCTTAATTTTGCAGCCTTAATATTATTTTTTTAAGTTTTTGTATGAAAATTTCCAAGATTTTTAAGAAAAATTACATCCTGTGGAACAATATTGACAGCTATTTGGTAGACAGTAGAGGAATGCTGGAAATCAAGAATACTGATGTCTTTTCCTGACTCTGGACAGGAATGTGATCTAGAGATCACAGTCAGCCTGGTCATGCATATAGATTTGGCATATTTAATCCCCCTCATCAAATCTCAAATCCTTGCTCCAAAGCACGGAGATGCTAAAGTTCTTTAAAAAAAATGGTTGGGAAAAAATAATTCTGAAAAAACTGTTTCTCTCTAGCTTCCAAAAAAATAGCACAAGGTAGAGAGAAAGCATGAAAACTTCAACCCAAATGGTTGAAATTTGACAGTTATAAAGCAACTGGGAACATGGGTTTATAATGGTACATTTGGTAGCACAACCAGCTGTGTCTTTAAGTGCTACATCTTCTAAAAGAAAAAAGAGTAGATGGAAGGTGATTGATGGAGGAAAGAATGGATATCACTGAGTTCCTATTCATTTCCTGTGGCAGCTAGAAGGAAATGAGTGGCAGTTGAGACTGAGCCCTTCATATATGCTTGTCCAGGAGACACAAGATGTAGGCAGGGTATGCACACAGCCCCAGTGAAGATTACTATTCCTAAATTCTGAGCCTGCACACCTGAAGTGAGCACACCACCTACAGTGGGGACCCCTGCAAGAACTCTAAAGGGAGTACAGTTAAAGCAAATGTTCTGTGTTTCATCAGAACAATCTAATTCTGTTCACAACCTTTTGGAAATACCAGTTGATGATTTCTAAGAAAATTTAAAGCTCTACATGAAAGAAGTCTTTAAATTGCACAGGAAGGGGAAAAGATAATGAACCTTCTCCCTCCACAAGATATTTAGGCAGAGAAGGCCTGGACTTTCTAATCACTACACTTTTACAACTATAACTTTATAATGATTATTAGTCACTTAAATAAAGAGTTGGCATGTGAACCAACCCCCAGAAATGAAGATCTAGTACTAAAGGCCGCCTCATTAATTCACTGTGTCAGGCAATACATTTTTTTTCCACACAACGCCTCATGTGAAAAAAAAATCTACATTAATATCTGAAGGACATGTAGAGCCTCAATTTTTCTTCTAAATAGCAAGAGGAATATTAAAAATTAATCATTTAAGTTTTTAAAAAGTGTTGTTATAAGTAAGTTAAACTTTCATTGTCATTTCAAAAGACCACTACAGTGCCAATAGAGAGCTAAACAAAGAGGTATTTTCACAGTTTAAAAAGCAGCATGCCTAGCGGGTCCAATGGTTGAGGTAGCATACGAGAGGAAAGACTGATTCTGAAACAAGCTAGACTCTTGCTACTGGGTCTTGTTCAACATGAAAGGATCAAAGATGTGATGATAGACGGCAACTGCAGGCAGACTTTGGTGAGAATTCTTGCTCTAGAGAATAGTCACCACTGTAATAACTGATGCCTGTTATGGAGATCAGTATAAGGTAAGTAATAGAGTGGCCCTGAATGAGGTGACTGAGTAAGACTAGGTGCAGCAGAGTTCACATTGTATACCTAGGTATACATCACCTAAATGAAGAGACTTAATTTAAAGAGAAGTGATGTAAAGATCATGGTTTATTAATGATGAAATGACACAATTATAATATTGCAAGCCTGTGTCAATAAGCATCCGTGTTCACACCCTACGAGCTGCTGTAATGATCTCTGTGCAAAATATGCCTTTTGACGTATCATTTGAAAACCAATAACTCATTGATCATTAATATTCTAGTGTGATGTATGTATGTAATGTGTATTAAGAGTTATGAATATATGCTGGAATTATGACAAAGAGTGTGTAAACCAGGTAGGTTGGGGGAGTTGTTACACTTTCCTTTGTCTAAGATAGATTTGTTTATTTGATTCTCTGACCAGCCCAGTATTCAGGCAAAGACAATAAAGCTGCATATTTACATACAAGTAGAAACAGGACTATCAAGACAGCAGGGGGAGGCAATGGCAAGAAACAAAACAATTTGCATTTCAGCAAACACAAGTGGGGGAAGAAAGAGCATGCAGCTTCCTTCACCACCAGACTCCATGTGGAGTCTCCTCACAGTTTAAATAATCTTTGCTTTGAGGTGTAAAGCATTTCAAAGGTTTACTGGTCTATAAAGACAAGGGATCTAAACCTGGAGTGATAAGCAATTGAATCAACTGATTGTATACATTACTGTATTATAAGAGTGTACAGAGTGATGTCTTTTCTGAAAGCTAAAGACACACTGGTGATTAATAGCATTGTGAAAAGTAT